GCAAATCATCTCTTCAAAATTTTTAAATTTAAAGTAAATTTTTTTTTTAACTCTTATTTCACTAAATATTTTTATTTTATGTATTTATTTTCAATTAGTTAAGAAAGAACATAGAGATGAAACCCAATATAGTTTGACTAAAAAATAATTTTTAATTTAACTTAAATTTTTTTATTCAATTTCTATTTGAAATTCTTGTTTTAATTTGCATGTTTTTTTTAAATTTCCTGTCGAATTATTTTTACTTTAACTCCTATTTCATAAAAATATTTTTTGTTAGTAGTTTTTTTTAAGTTTAATCTTTTTTGTAAGAGTTATTTTGATAAAAACACAAGACTATAAAAAGCTAAAGTAACTAAAATTAAAAAAAATATTAGACAATTGCCGAAAATATGTTAATTTTTAAAAATTACGAGATAGTTAAAAACCAAAAAGAAAGTGCTCACTTAGATTTCCTAAACTTATGCCAATCATACTTAGCTTAAAACTAAGACATTATTTAATTAAAACCGTTTTTAATGGCTTTTGTGAATAATAAATATTAAGGACATTATTGTCTGATGAAAAATGAATTTTGACAAGAATTGTTTCCTTTTTTCCAATTTTAAATATAAAATGTGATAAAGTTGTTAAATATTTTAAAATTAAGTTTGAATACATGTATTTTTGAAAATGTTGTTATTAAAAAGATTTATTTTTACAGATAAATTTGAAAGCTTATTTCAATCTGTGACATGATAATATTTTTAAAATATTTTTTAATATGCAAAAAATGTTTTCTCCAAAACTATGGATGCACAGTTCAGAAATAATAGGTCACATGTTTCAAGAAAAAGGCCTTTCTTCTGTCTAGCACATTAAATTCTCTGATTGACTATCATCGTCGCATTTTCAAAATTTTAAATTTTCTTTTTTACATCCTATTTCACTAAATATTTTAATTTCATTTTTAAATATAATTTATTGTTTTTTCTGTGAGAGACATACTACAATTATTAATTATTTTCTTTTTTAGATTCAAGTGCAGGCTTTGGACATATTTTCTTTAAAAAACAACCAATAAAATATTAGGCTTGCAAAAGTATTTAATTTTTAAAAATTACTTTATAGTTAAATAAGCTGGTTCACTTAAAATTAAAAAATACTGTCACTTCTGTTCTTCCGTCCAATAAATTTCCCTGACGTTAGTTGTCAATACATTGACGTAAATGTCAATTCACACCTCCCAAACCAATCACCACGGTTAGACATGCTTCTCTTATTTTCAACTAATTTTTTCTGCTAAAAAATTAAGAATGTTTGTTTCCAATTACATTAAGTAACTTTAAATTTTCTGATATTTAAAACAAAGAATTTTAAAAATCAGAAAATTTAAAGTTACTATCACTTTTGGTTACAAAGTTGTCAAAAATGGCTGACATGATCGATTTTATGGCAATTTTGCTGACACAAAAAAACGATTTTTAACTAAAATTTCGGACGTGCTAGGAAGGATTAAAAAATGTAAAAAAAAAAATAATCAAAAATACTTTGGTCTTTTCTCTTAATAATAACAAACATTTAGATGATAAAAAAACTATTTATCAAGTTTGGAGTCTTTTTTTTTATCAGGGTATGTTGTTTTTTTAGCGAAGTATTGAAGATACCTACACAAATATATATTTTTATTTTTAGAAGATTTTTAACCCAGAAAACCGAGAATTAACTTTTGTTTACAAATGTGTCAAAAGGCTGATTTTTATCGATTTTCTAAAAGCGACCAAAAAGTTGAGATTCCAATCAATATAATTTCTATTTTAAATACACCAGAATATTTAGCTTACAGGAAAGAGTAATCATTTTTAGCTTTCAATTAAAGCTAAAAAGAAAGCTTCAAGAATGCTTTTTCATTTTTAAAAATTCACTCTTAAACCTGAGGTACTGAAAATTTAGTGGAGGTCCTTAGATAAATTAATAAATAATCTTTAAAAATTAGTATCTGATTTAGCTAACTTCTCAATTTGGTAAATTTTTATTTTAACACCCGAGCGCTAATATCCCTTCAAATTTTTCCAAAATAGTCTTATTTCTGTGCAAATGTATATGCTGAACTCAAATCAAAAATTGGATATTGAAGAAACCTACCTTTTTGGATGTTAACGACCTGAAAAAAAATCAGACTTTTTCCTGGTCTTTCGTCAGCCATTACCGGCTTATAGATAAGTAATTCAGTGCTGAATTTTGTTCGTGGACGTATACAATTTGGGCCTATTTACTTCCTTCACAGTAATTCCTTGTAGAAATTAGTACCTGCTTCTGTAAAGCAATTTTTTTTTTTTTTTTTGTACTTAATTTAAGAAGAAAGTTAACTTTCAAATATATGTAAACATCAACAAATAAAAGAATAACAAAGTAATTTTTTTTTAAGAAGAAAGTTAACTTTCAAATTAGTGTTAGGTGTTTTGTTTTTGTTTTTTTTGGTTATTTTATTTTTTTAAAAAGAAAGTTAACTTTCAAATTAGCGTTAGGTGTTTTTTTTTTTTGGTTATTCTTTTATTTTTTTTAAAAAGAACTTTCAAATTAGGGTTGGGTGTTGTTTTTTGGTTATTCTTTTATTTTTTTTAAGAATAAAGTTATCTTTCAAATTAGGGTTAGGTATTTTTTTTCTTTTGTTATTCTTTTATTTGTCGATGTTTACATATATTTGAAAGTTAACTTTCTTCTTAAATTAAGTACAAAAAAAATCGCTTTATGGAAGCGCGTACTAATTTCTGAAAGAAAATAGTTCAGCAGTGAATGACGCTCGGGTGTTAAAATGAAAATTTTCCCTCAATTTATTTTTAGTGCGCTATAATGGAAGGTAGTTTTAAGAAAGATTATTATTCACTATTCAATGTTGCTTAAATCGTTTGGAACTGTAAACTTACAACGCCCTTTTTGTTTTTATTTATTATTCAAAGAAAAAAAATTATTAAATACATTTTTTTTTTGCGTTTATTTTTAATTTTAAATTAAAGAGATGTTCAAAATTTTTGGATTGATTTTATTTTTTAGTTTATTTTTGTTTTGTTTTTTCAAGAAACGAAAATTTTTGTTTTAAAACAAAATCAGAAAAGTAAACATCGTCATTTCTGTGATTGAATAAAATGACTTTTTTCAGTTACAGCTGTATTTGTAATCGGATAAAAAATAGTTAAAAATTTCATTTTTTTTTTATCCGATTTACTGTTTACAAGTTCTTTTCATGCTAAAACCGAGACGGCTTTTTGTTTTGATTTGAGTTGTCATAGACACAAAAAAGTTCGCAGATCCCTAACGTACAGCAATTGCATGGCTATTAATATCACTAACGAATATTGAGGTTATTTAAGGCCTGAGAATATCCCAAACTTGCAGCTTTGTGCTAAACTAAACTAAGCTTAATAAATTAAATTTAAATAACAACTTCACAAAATCGCGTAAGAACAATTAATTAAGGCTAAAAAAAGCAATGCAAACTTGGGAGGAACGCAGAAAAAGGAAAAAATAATTTAGCAATTTAATTTAGTTTTACTTACTTTTTTCTGTCCGTCATCGTCTAGTAAGTGTTACTTAAAACAGTGCAATATTAGTTTTAAAAGCAGAAAAAAGATAACTTTAAATAAATTAAAAGGTTTTGGATTACACAGTTTAACTTTTCTAAAACAAAAACATATTGTTTAGATGCAAATTTTCTAAAGAGCGAATGTCAAGGGAGATAATTCATACAAACAACTCATCTGTCAGTGAATGTTGGAAAATCTTTTCACATATGAAGAAGAGACTTGAGAAAATAGAAATTTGTTTCTATAGAAGGATGCTGAGAATATCATGGACTAAACACGTGAACATTTTTAGGGAAAATAAAAACTTAGAATCAGAAAGAGACAGTTACGGTACATAATAAAGGAAAAAGGGCTTGGAGAATTTGACATAGTGTAAGGCAAACACGCTTTTGTTGGCAGAATAGGGATTAGATTAGAAGAGATATCAAAAAGACAAGGACGGGAAGTTGTGGAGATCCACGATTTCCCACGTCCTTAAGCAACGCAGCATATAGAAGAAGAATATTTTAAAAGAAAATTTACAATTTGAATTACAGAACTGATGCATTAGATTTATTTATTTATTTTTTGATAACTGAAATAATGTTTAAGAAGCTAGACTTCCAGGCCATTAGACTTTTACTAAAAATGTACCATCTCCCTTTGAGGGCGTAAGCAAGTAATCATCCAGGCAATATTATTGACCTTGAGGGAAGAAGTCAGACAGCATAACTGATTGATTGAATCATTCATTTTCTATGGCTTATCAACCCTTTGCAGGTTATTTAAGGCCTGAAAATATTTTTTTTTAAATAGTAAGAATTTTGGAGTAAGGGGAGATGATAATTGTTCAGTGATACAAGTCTTACTAATTAGCCCATAGCTGGGGGAGAAAAGGTGGATTCATACCTTTCCCAAGGGTATTTCCACATAAGTGAATATAATGAACCCAACAGGACTTGGACTTCAGCTCTCCAATTTCAAAACATTATCCATTGTACCACCTGCAACCCGTCCTGGGTATGACGATAAACTACATTCATGTCCTGGGTATGACGATAAACTACATCCAACAGCAAGGCCTCTGATCAGGAGGTTTTGAGGAGTGTGGAACTACCTCTTAATTGTTTGTATTCCCAAGTCCACCTTGACCTGGTGTGGTAGCACCTGTTAGGGTCCCAGCTATGGGCAAATAGTTAATCCCCAAACTGGGGTCAAAACACTATGAAAGGGTAAAAATAGGTTTTAATACCAGAAATACTTTGTAAAAAATTATTACCAGCAATAAATTTTTAAAGAAAAATTATTACTGGCAATACATTATTACCATCAATACATTTTTGAAAAAAAAAAAAAATAATTACCAGCAATAAAAAATTTTGTCGGCATTAAATAACCCATCGAGGTTGATATGCTGTAAAACAAACCAAACCAAACCACCTGTAAATCCAAGCTTATATCACCTGGTATTCCCAAGCATTCACCTATCAAGGTACTGAGCAGGCTCGACGTTGCTTAACTTTGGTGATTGTATGAGAACTGGTGTTTTAACAGAATGTGGCCATAAGACTTTCTTTCCCATAAACCCCAGGACAAACACAGAAAGCGCGAAGTTAAGAGTGCATCACTGTATGTACTTCTATTGTATCGACACAGGTCCATGCAGCCATCTTTTATTTCTCCTATTCATCTGGTAACTGACCACAGCAATTTGGAGATAGCAAGTAGAAGCTCACTATCTTCATGTAACTATGATTGGTTGTTAGTGCCACAAGTGGAGAAAACGTTTTCACGTTTTGTGTTGGACTGTAAGCTGCAACATTAATGCACTCAATAAATGTGAAAGAGAAAAGAAAATGTTAAAATTTGATGAACTCGAATTTTTTGCAACAAGCTGATGTGTATTGATATCCTCACAATATTTAGTATTGTTAAAATTATCAAACATTTTTTGTCAAGATTTACAAACTCTACATTCTGACCTTCTATCTCCTTGTATCCAGTTTCTCTATTGCCTTCTATTCTCAATAATGCTTTTTGCATTTTCTTTCACTCTCAGGGAGCCCTTGAATCTTAGTGGCTTCGTTGCCTTGCTTGGGGGTAAAATGATTAAAAAAAGAAACACCTAAATAAACGAAAAGAGCCTGAAATGTGGATTACAACATCAACTTTTTTTTTTTAATCATTTCACCTCAAGCAAGGTGATAAATCCACTAAGATGCAAGGCGTTACTGAGTGTGAAAGAATATGAGAAAGATTTACATACTCTACATTTCATTGAATTTCACAAACCAATTGATGAATTTTGAATAAGCTGATTTGTTTGGAAAAATCAGTCAGTTATGTGCCACATGTGGTACACGCTTAGGTGTTCATGTATCTTTCGATACATGACTGACGAGGCATATTTTTTTCGCGCAGTAAGTTGCCATTTCTTTCTGTGGTAGACCAGTTGCTATCCAAGGGTATAGAACCCAGTCTGTCTTGCTCTTTTACCTGTAGAAGAGGAGGATTCATATCTTTCCCAAATTGAATTCAAACTCTCTGATTCCTCAACCCAAGCTGCTATCCGTTACTCCACTGTGCCTCCTTTGGAAAAATACTTTTACAAAAACCCTACTTTACGGTTTAATGATTTCTTTTAATTTTATTGGTCTTCATGGTAAACAATATTTTTTAAGAAAATTTCTTTTTTTTCCCCCTTTTTAATAGCAAAGAATAAATTCTTAGGATTTCTTACACTTGAGCATGCAATATACAACTGGCCATGCGTAAATATTATTTATTGGAGCCAAATTCCAACTTTTTGAAGCGTTGGCCTTGTGATTTGTTTATTGTTCTCACAACCACAAGGCAAACTGGAAAGTGGATTCTTGTATATAAAAAATTAAAGAAAAGATATGCAAAAAACTATATTGTATTTTTATTAAATAAGTATTTGTTATCTTAATCATTAAGTTATCTTTAAAATAATGGGAGTGTTTTGTATATCAAATAATAAAATTTTTAATTTTACCAAAAAATGAATGAAAAATTATGGCACTAAGCTATGCAACCTAAAGGTACTTTGTATCCACTGACTTATTTCCATTTCTCCCCAAAATTTGGTTTCAATCAGTCAATGTATCACTATTTTATAGGATCTGATGGACGGACAGATGGATTAATGTAAGTCACAGAATTTTATATATAGACTAGCAGCATGGCTCGGCGTTGCCCGTGCTTGATTCAAAAATCATACGACTCATACAGCAATCGCTATCATTGACTTAAAATATTTTTGCCTTTCCTTGCCTTTAAAGGAGTGTCCTTTGCCGTGCTGATGTTGCTACATGCCTTACTTCTTGCCTATCTCACACTGCGAATTTTTTCTAAGCTCTATACTAAACATTAAATCTGTCACAAAAAAAGAACTAAACAAAATGAACACAAAACGATCAGCTTTAAAAAAGGACTCATAACTGGAAAAACTGAATGAAAAAAGAATGTTAACAACAAATACTTTTTCACACCCAACCCAGTTCTGCAGAATAAGATTCAACGTAGAGTTTAAGCAAGCGAATGAGCCAATAAGAGTAAAGTGCCATGCAGATTTAAATTTTTCCCACTTGTGACGAATGCAGCTATCGATTTTTTTGCATGCTAGTTAACATTCGTGTCAGTCAGCTGTTGGCTCTCATGCTGGCCAATAGAATCTTCCTGCCTATTCGTGGTAGCCAGCTATTGGCTCTCACTCTGACCAGTACAAAATGACCGCAAACTACATGAAAACTGCCGCAGGAGCATGAAAAAATCGATTATTTTATTATTGGAGTTGGGAAATGCAAAGTTGGTCTTGGCCTTCCCACTAACTTGGAGCATGTGCATGTAAACTTTGGTGCAAATCCGTCAAAAATTGCGGCCGTGCATTCGTTACACACACACACACACACACATATATCCTGCCTTTTATAGATAGAGATAGATGTCATGAAACATTGTCTTCCATTTATACTCATCTAAAGATTCTGTAGGACAGAACAAAATAACAAAAATTCAGATTCCATTTTCTTGATTTCCTGTCACCTACAATCTTCAAAAATTTAAATGAGACGTCAATTGTGACCATCTATCTCCTTGAATCCAGTTCCTTGATTGCCTTCTATTCACGATAATGTTTTTTGCATTTTCTTTCACTCTCAGGAAGCCCTTGAATCTTAATGGCTTCATTGCCTTGCTTGGGGTGAAATGATTAAAAAAAAAGAAACACCTAAATAAACGAAAGGAGTCTGAAAAGTGGATTACAAAAACATCAACTTTTTTTAATCATTTCACCTCAAGCAAGGTGATAAATCCACTAAGATGCAAGGTGTTACTAAGTGTGAAAGAATATGAGAAAAAGAAAACATTAGGAGTTACTGTATGTGTACACAATTAAAGAAAATAAATTAAAAACCATTCCCAAAAGATCACGCCAGACTCCCATTATTTACAATATTTATATTCAGACTATTGTCTTCATCTTTGTTGTTTTTATCACAATGTTTCGGCCGCTGTGCCCTACTGTCTTCCTCAGTTGTATATTGATCTGGGTAACCTACAGGGAATTCTGAACTAAACCCTTTATTTAATCTACAAGGGTAGACAGTTCTGCTCATGTCTAGAAATGTTGTCTAATTCTTATTTTTATTTAATACGGTACAGTTTTTGCTTGCCTGTTTTCACTGAGTGCAAGTACACACTGTCCAAATCAGAGATTGAACTCACAACGATTATGTCACCAATTTTCACAAACCAATGCTTTTATCCTATACGACAATGGCCTAGTGGATGGAATATTCAACTCAACAATTGAAGAGAACAAATAAATTCAAACTTGAAATCGGATTTTCTTTTATTATACTTTGGACAACGGGTTAAACATTGCTTAATGAGCTGATTGGCAACTTATCGATCCTCATTGAGATAAAACATTCGACTCAACAATTGAAAAGAACAAATAAATTAAAAATTGAAATTGATAAAATCCAAAGAAGAATCTACAATATTATGGTCCTGACTTTCCCACCATCATAATGTAGCTTCCCTGTGACTTTTCTACAAATACTTTTATGGTAATTGTTCAGATTAGATCTTCACTATGATGTATACACTTTATGAATTTAAGTGTCGTACTAGTTTGGTAACAAGATCTCAATTTACAGTTGAATTGGCTAGATGAAACATAAGTTCTATGCTAACAGTTTCTTTCCTTGCATTTTCCCCTTGTAGAAATCTTTCCAGCTATATGCTTTCCAGCCAACTTTGATCTTCAAAAATTTAAATGCAATGTTAATCATTATCTACTGTCTTCCTGATTGTTCTCGTTCCTTAGTAATGTTTCTGTTTTGTAATTCTTAAAAACACCCAGTAGCCACTTGTGTCATAGTGGCTTTATTGTCTTGCTTAGGGGTAAATTCAATTTAAAAAAATATCAGTGAAGGCATACAAAATGCATATATTGTTCACTGCACTTTTTAATATTAGGTTGTCCCAAAAGTTCGTAAACACTTGCAAAAAATTGAAATTTTACTCGCCAAGTAATAACAAAAAACAACAAAAATTATTCTTCAAGATAAAGAGCATCATTTTCCCAGACTTTCTACCATCGATCTGCAAGCTTTCGGATCTGGTGAAAGTATCATTCAGCCGGCTTCGAATCAAAGAATTCTTGACACGCTTCCTCGACTTCATCAAACGAGTCGAATCGGCGGCCCTTCAGAAAGTGTTGCATTGAGCGGAAAAGGCCGTAATCTGATGGAGCACAGTCAGGACTGTAGGCTGGATATGGCAGAACCTTAACGCCGTCCAGCTCTTCAAACTTGTCTTTGGTCTTCCTGGCGGTGTGTGGCTTGGCATTGTCCTGCTGCATCAAAGCGCGCTTTCGGTTGATCAGAGCCGGGTACTTTTGCTTCAATTTTTCGTAGACTCGCTCTAGTTGCTGACAGTAATGTTCGGCACTGATGGCACGACCATTCGGAACCAACTCAAAATGCACGATTCCTTCAAAGTTCCACCAAACGCACAACATGACTTTCTTGCCGAATCGATCTTGTTTTGGAACCGACAGTGTCTCTTGCCCTTTCTGAACCCATCGCTTGTCTCGATTGTGCTGGATTGTGTTGCATAAAAATTCAATTTTTCGCAAGTGCTTACGAACATTTGGGACAGCCTAATAATTGTCTCATTACAAAAGTCATATTCAAGCTGCTTTGATCAGGTTTAAAACAATACTGGGCCTCTGGGAGATTCTGCTTGGAGAAAGCAATGTCTGTTGAGGATGACACAAGAAAGAATCTTTCCAGCAATTGAAAAGAGAGTAGGAGATATATACTTGGGGTTTGCCAAAACTCAATCTACTTCTCTTTTCCTTGTAGAGAGTATTTTCTCTGTCTCTCAGATGCACATGTGTTCATATGTGGAATTTCAAAAATAAAATCAACAGTAAGCTTTCCTGTGTATTTGTAAATTAGAGCTTTGTGGAAATGTTGATCCGTCCACCGCACAAAATGTCGTATTTTTAACCACCGTGTGT